TAATACTTTATTGCAGGTCTTACCTTTTGCTGGTTTAGAAAAGATGACTGTTAAGCTTTCAAGATGGCCTTCAGCTCATTAACTTTCTTTGTACAAGGAAAAACTATCCTTGAATTTACTGTGCGTCATTGTGTAGTGTTCCAAATTCCCCCTTTTTTTTTTAAACTTATCGATATACTTTGACATACAAAGCAAACGCATTTTTGCAGTTGTGAGCAGAGATTCATTTTTCTGTTCCGCATGAAGGTTATGCATTTTTGGACTCCCTTTTAATGAGTTCCAGGTTCATCACTCGTCATTGTTGCTTCATATCTATTTTCTGACATTTGATCTACCGCTGGTCTCGCTGCAGATAGGCTTATGGATCCTCGCCTGTGGAATATCCAGAAGACTGCTGGCCTTTCAAATATGGAGGCACTGGAAGTTATACTTTGTTTTGGGGCTCCTGGTCAGCCAGATTTGCTCTGATTATTTTCATAGAATCCCTACAGTGTGGAAATGGGAAACAGGTTATTGCTATAGAAGTTACTTTATTTGCAATGATAGTCCATCTGGACTGAACTAAAATAATTTAAGTTGGCAAGGCCTGTTAAGTGCATGCACTTTTCTCTAGCGTCATGGTTTTCAGATGAAATAAATGTAGCGATGGGGTGATCAACATGCACGCAGTGAGGGAATGTGGGCAAGCAGTGAGATCGACTATTAGACTTGGTGATGAGACCACAGCCCTACACCATCAACTTTTGTTTTTCTGAATAACCTTTGACACCTTGTCACGTGACTTCTGAAAATCTAAATGCAGTGCATCCACCTGTTTTCCCCCTTCACAGTGCCCATTACATCCTGAAAGAACCTAGCACATTGGTCCCTTCATACAAAACTGTGTTGACTCTGCGAGATTACCTTCTACTACTTTAAGAACCATACTATAACTTCTATAATAATTGCTTCTGACAATTTCCCGTTGTCAGATGTTAAACCAACTGGCCTGAAGTTTCCTGATTTCTGTCTCATTTTCTTGTTTGGAAAATAGCAAATGCAACATCTTTATGTTACCTGATGGGACCAACCCCAAATTGAGGGAATTTCGGAAAATCAAAACTAATGCTTCAACTATCTCACTTGCCACGTTAAGACCCTAGCATGAAGTTCAAGAACCCAGACACTTGTTAGCCCATAGCTCTCAATTTATTCAGTACCATGTCTGCAATGATTGATTTTCCTGAGCTTCTCCCTCCCTTCCGTTTTCTGATTTATTGTCCCTGCTGAGATGTTACTTGTCCTCTTTATAGTGAACTGATGTAAAATGCTCATTCAATTATTTTGCCATTTCTCAACCTTCCATTAATAGTTCTCTGGTCTCCTTTTCAATAGGATTGATGCTCATTTTGCCAACTCTTACTTAAATATTCATAGAAGCTCTCTAATGCCTGTTTTTGTATTTCTGGTTAACTTTTTCTAACAATCTTTTTTTTTCCCCTCCTTATTAATCTTTTGGCCATTCTTTGCTTTTTTTTTAAAAATGTTCTGTCCAATCTTCTGGACTGCCACTGTCTGTGCAATAATGTCCTTTTTCTTTAAGTTTCTTACTATCTTTGACATTTCTAGTTAACTACAGATAGAATCCAATGGATGGATCTTTTCTTTATTCATTAGACAACACTTGTTCTGTATCTTCTGAAATATTCCCTCTGATGTCTGCCACTGAATCTCCATTGACCTATCCTATTCCTTGATTTGCCAATTCACTTTAGCCAGCTATATCTTCTTATCTTTATGATTCCCTTTTACAAATATATTAAAGCAGCATCAGACTTGCTCCTCTCCCTCCTTAAACAGGATATAAAATTCAATCATGTTTTGATCACTGCTACTCAAGGGCACCGTCACAATGAAATCATTAATCCCATCTCATTGCATAATACCAAATTTCATTTTAGTTTGCTTTCTGGATGGCTCTAGAACATGCTAGCAAACTATCCCAAAAGCATTCTATGAACTTCGCTTCTGGGCTACTTTTGACTGTCTGTTTTTCTAGTCTTTATGTAGACTCAAATCTCCTATGATAATTGTTCCTTTTCGAAGAACTCATTAAACTTTCTTTATGCTCCTGCATGCTGTGTGGTTGCTCAAGGGGCTTGTGCCCCATTCCCACAAGTAATTTCTTGTCTCTATCACTTCTCCCCAAACTGTTTCCACATTTTGGTTTCCTGAATTTGGGTCATCCAATATTACTAGTAATAATTACAATTAACCTGAGAGCCACACCTTCACCTTTCCCAGTTTCCTGTCATTCATTATTGTCTTGTACCCTTCAAGATTTTGGGTTCCGATCCATCCTGTAGAGACACCTTTGTAGTTGCTACCAGATTGTACTTGCCCATTTCTATTTGCATTCTCAGTTCATCTGTTCTGTTTCAAATATGTTCAGATACAGAGCCTTTAGTTTCATCCTTTTTTAACTTTGTTTTGATTTGTGCTCCCCGCCCTTTCAGATAAAAGTCTATTTAATTTCCCGTATTATACCTTTCTCTTCAACTTGACCTTGCTCCTTGACTTGCATCTTCCCAAGTTTGATTCCTGTGCCCCTATTTAGTTTAAAATCCTCTCCACTTCCCTAGTTGTACTGTTGACACGAACACTTCCCCACCATGTTTTGGTGGAACCATCCATCAGTACTAATTTCACTTTCCCACTCCTGGTGGCAGTGCCCCATAAGCCACAACCTGCATCTCTCTCACCAGTCTTTGAGCCATACAGTTGCATCTGTAATCTGATTTGTACTATGCTAACTTCTTTCTAGTAGTAATAAAGAGAATATGAATGTTGAGATTCTGCCTTTGGTACCTTGCTCCTCGTACTGACTATGAAGAACCTCTTCCTTTGTCCTTTCAATGTCATTGGTACCTACATGGGCCACTGGATCCTCCATCTCTCACTGCAAGTCCCTCTTGAGCCCTTACCCGATGTCCTGAACCCAGGCATCCAACAGGCAGCACAATTATCTGGATTTTGCAGAGAATGGTTCCAACCCCCCTTGTTATGTTATCTGAACGATCACTAATTCCTCCTTGCTGTCTCCCTCAAATGGCCACCTGTGTCATTGTGCCGTGATCAGTTAGTTCATCCACCCTGCAGCCCTTGGTATGATCCAGTCAAGCTGAAACAACAGTTTGTCAGAGTTATTTGCCGTTCAGGTAATAGGCCAAGAATGTATGGGCACATGTTTTATTTTAATCCTTTGGTGAATGGGAGCTTCTGACTGGAACGTGCAGCAGAAGTAGAATGTGTGGAGAAGTACGTTCTGTCAGCACAGTTCAGTTGCAACCCATCCACTTGGTCTGTTGAGATGCTTATTGGAGGCTTGCAATTGGCCCCTTTCTCTTTCTGCTTAGTTCAAGTTGGGAAACTAGCCTGCTGTTAATTCAGCTGCAGTGTATTCATCCTAGCCACAATATTTCTAACTGAAAAGGTGAATGGCTAACTGGTTTCGGGTGCCCTTTTATTCATTTAATCCTTTCAAATATTTTAAAACCAGATGTCGTGCATGTTTGGCAATATAGCATGTAGTACAGTGGAAAACTTTTGTTTAATCTTATTCCCCGGTGTCTGTAATTTTGCTTTCTCCATTCTGTTTCATGGTTATTTCAGCAGATATTAAATTCTTAGACTGGAACTGTGGTCTAAAACTTTAAAACCAAGAATGTTAGAGGACAGGTACAACTGTTTGACTCGCTGACTCTAATCATTGAAAGGTTGCGTAAAAGTGGCAACATGGTATTAAATGATGACCTTTAAAGTACAGCATTGATACTGGCCATTTGGCCCATCAATTAAGTTGTACTTTTTACTTCACCAGTCTGACGATGCGCTTACAATTGCGCTCGAACATTCTTATTGATCTGTTGTTTTGACAACCTAACATTTAATAGAACAGAGTTACTATTTAAGTGAGGTGATGTGAACTCTTGAAATAGATTTGGTAGTCTAGAAGCAGCAAATGTATCATTTCAATGTCAGCTGTTGTACATATTCTGCAGTGGTATGGAAAGAAGATTTAGCAGACTATGAGAGACAATGAAATTGTTTGTTTGTGTTAACCTTTTTCAGTATTTATATTTCTAAATGTAATTTTCAGTTTTAAGTTGCAGTAGCTTTTAATTTAGTGTGCCTGAGGGAAAATTATTTTTAACAATGCAGCTTAGTGTGCTGGAGTTTTATTTAGGAACACAGTAGATGGTTATCAGTGCGTTATGTTTGTTGACTGATTTTTGCATTTAAAGTGAGAAGGTTTATGAAATAGAGGAGGTGATGGCCTAGTGGTATTATCACTGGACTGTTAATCCAGAGACCCAGATAATGTTCTGGGGTCCTGGGTTTGAATACTGCCAAGGCAGTTGATGGAATTTGAATTCAATAAGTATCTGGAATTAAGGGTCTGATGATGACCATGAATCCATTTTCAATTGTCGGGAAAAACCCACCTGGTTCACTAATGTCCTTTTAGGGAAACTGGTCTGGCCTACATGTGACTCCAGACCCACAGCAATGTGGTTGACTCTTAACTGCCCTCTGGGCAATTGGGGATGGGCAATAAATGCTGCCTAGCCAGCGATGCCCTCATCCAATGAATGAATAAAAAAATTTTTGTACAATGCTATTACCACTTTTATAGAAACTTATCATAAACTTCTGCGGTAATTCCAATTTAAAGAGACTGATAGAGCTGCTGCCTAGCTTTAATTCAATAAGTTGGTTTTCCCCAATCCAGTGATGAGCTCTGATCAAATTTGCCTCTGATTATCACAACGATAGGGGACTCAGATTACCATTGTAAATACTGAGTTGCCTTATCAACAGTGCTATCTCAATCCCATTGTGCATGGCAGAAAATAACGGGGTCATTATTTCACTGTTTTGTTTTAACAGAGTGACCACTACACTGTCTAATGTAGTTTACATCTTGTAACTTGATTACGAATTTAATGTTTTCTATGCAGCTACCTGGTGACCAGCTTAATGGGAGCAGATCTAAACAATATAGTCAAATGTCAGAAGCTCACGGATGATCATGTACAGTTCCTAATTTATCAGATTCTTCGGGGCCTTAAGGTGAGAATTTCTGTTTTATGCCAATTTCCCAAATTATTTTCTTGGCTGTAATCACTTTTGCAGGAATATGGCTAACTTCATAAAGTTGGCACTAAATAAAAACCGAAAGAACTGCGGATGCTGTAAATCAAACAAAAACAGAAGTTGCTGGAAGAGCTCAGCAGGTCTGACAGCATCTGTGAAGGAAAATCAGTTAACATTTTAGGTCTGGTGACCCTTCCTCAGAACTGATGGTAGCTAGGAAAATGTCAGTTTATATGCAAAAAATAGGGTGGGTGGGGAGGGGTAGGAGTAAACGATAGGTGGGGATAGAGCCCAAAGAGAGAGAAGAACAGTTAGACAGCTAAAGGAGTTGATAACGGTTCTGAGGAAGGGTCACCGGACCCGAAACATTAACTCTGTTTTCTCCTCACAGATGCTGCCAGACCTGCTGAGCTTTTCCAGCAACTTTGTTTTTGAGTGGATAACAATCTGGCTAGGAGGGTTAAATAGCTGTTAATGGAGACTGTTAGTGGCTAACAATGGGTAGTGTATAATGGCAGACTATGTAATAACAAGGCCTGGTGTGTGGGGTAGGGGGCTTGGAAATGGGAGAATTCAGGCCCTAAAGATATTAACTTGAAATGGAGTCCAGAGGGTTGCAGGGTCCCCAAGCGAAAATGAGGTGTCGTTTATGCTGGGCTTTGCTGAAACACTACAGCAAGCCTGAGACAGATGTTGGCCCTGATCACCGGTGCTATGTTAAAGTAGCAGGCAACTGGAAGCTCTGTCTTTTTTTGTGGCAGAACGTAGATGTTCTGCAAAGCGGTCATCCAGTCTACGTTTTGTCTCCCAGTGTAGATGAGATTACATTGTGAGCAGCGAATGCAATAGATTAGATTGTGAGAAGTGCAGATAAAGTGCTACTTTCACCTAGAAGGTATGTTTGGCTCTGTTGCAGAGGAAGGTACTGTGTGTGTGTGTGTGGAGGGAGGAGGGGTTTGTTGTGAGTGAAGAAAGAGTGGACCAGGGTCCTCTGAAGGGAACGGTCCCTGTGAAGGCAGATGAGGGGGTGTGGAATATGTGTCTGGTGGTAGCTTCTCGCAGGAGGTGGCGGAAAAGGCAGCTGGTATTCTTCTGGACGTGGATGCTGGTGGGATGGTAGGTAAGGACCGCTTTATCCCTCTGCATTCCCACCTTAATGAATTTTGGGCATGACGTGACGTCGAACTCTTCTGCTGTCTTCACTTCTGCCCATTTCTTTGGACAAGAGTCCTCTCCCTGGCCCACAGACCCCCTTTTATCCTGCTCCAAGACTCTCTCCCTCCACCTGGATCCCTCCCTCTGGCCTTTTACCTGCATTCGGTCTTCATTTGAGAACTGTCAACGTGACATTGGTTGCCTCAATTTCTCTGCCCCCTCACCTAATCTAACCTACCTCCCTCCGAACTGACTGCACTCCGATCTAACCCTGACTTTGTTATTAAGCCTGCC